CAGATAATTTATCATCAAATTCAGTGCAAATATCCTGCCTCTGAAATTCTGTAAATGAGTGCAGTTTCGAAACTTTAAGCTCGACCCGGCAGAACTACAATAGACGTAGAATTTACTTCTGATTTTTCGGGGCGAAAAGGTCTTTTTAACCAGGGGATAAACTGCCTGAACCAGAGACGGCTACTGTCTAGCCGAGTGACTTTGGCTTTGTCGCGCATCGATTTGTATGCCTTACGGATTTACCCATGCTGTCAGTAATCCGTGACAGTTAAAGTAGTTTCGCTGCTGTAAAAGCAGAATGATTTCATTTTTTCACATTAAAAATAATGGTAACGGAGTGAAACTACGAAAATATACAGTGTAAAGAAAGAAAAAACTGTTTCTCACTTTACGCTAGCAGCTGTATTGCCCCGCCCCCTTGCTTCTAGACGTTTAGAGGTATAATTTAAGCAGGCCACGGCTCCATTGTGTTTAATTGTTTACAATGCATAGGACGTAGGACTGGGTCTCAAATTAGAGTTGAACAAACGTATATTCAACAAAGATTGCCACCACCTGTCGGCGAACGAATGACAGGATACAACCCCGATGTTCCCGGGTACTTTTCTATACCGCAGCTGAAGATATCTGATTAAAAACAACGATGCCTGATTTAAACGGCGATATCGTTGTTTTCGCCGTTTCGGACCGGCGTCATTATTCTTAATATGATATATTCAGTGACTGTATCGAAGCCCCGCCCAGAACATCGGGGTTCTGATTTGTCACTCATTCGCCTATGGACCGTGACGATGTTTTTTGGTTGAACATAGTTTTGTTCAGAGCCGAGCCCTGCTTAAGTTACTCCCCCTTCCCTAAGGCGACTAGAATCAAGAGGCGGTGCAATACAGCTGCTTGTGCAAAATGAAAAATTGATTTTTCTTTCTTTACAGTGTGCATTTTCGCCGTTTCAGTCCGGTATCATTTTTTAAAATGTGATGTATTCAGCGGCGGTATCGACAGCTCTCTTAAAACATCGAGGTTATTTTTTGTCACGATTTCATTTTTTCTTAATTTTTTATTTACCCTTTATTTGCTAAGAGCAATATAACGTCAAGTGTCTGGCCAAACCGCCGCTGATCCGATCTTCGAGTAATGTTAGATGGCTCAGAAACCGTGAAAGTTCGTTTATCCGGATTACATGTACTCTTTTGACCCAGAGAAAGTCTGTGACTGGATCCAGCGCCACCAGCCGTTAGCATGGTTGCAGATATATGCGATCGATGGTCAGCTGCTTTGACCAATCTGTTCAGTGTATGTCGCGGGTGCTGCCTCAGAGTAAATGGCATTTAGTCGAGAACGCTTTGCGTTGGCACTGGTCTCCGCAAAGGCTGTGTTATGTCACCTCTCCTGTTTGTGTTGTACACGAGGAGAAGAGTCAGACTGATCCGAGACTGAGTTTATCAGCGTAGTGGATTTCGAGATGAGAAGGTTGTTCTTTGCAGTCGACCTTGTTTTGTTGGCATATACTAAAACTGGTCTTCCAGCGCTCTTTGGAAAAACTCCCTGCCGAGTTTAGCATGACCGGCATGCGTGTGAACGTTTCTAAAACGAAAAGCCTGTTTCTTTCTTATTCTCCTGCCCAATGCTTTCTTCAGATAAACTGAGAAGCAGGGAGCCGGAGGAGTAGTTCAAGTACCTCAGAGTTGTGTTTACTGGTGACGGTGATGGAAAATGAGAGGAAGACTTCAGGGGCGAATTGGAATGATCAGCAAGGTTCTGCGTAAGCTAGCCGGAATCGTTATGACTAAGGCAGAGCTGATTCTGAAGACTACGTTCAAATCGATCTTTATTCTGACGTTCCCCTA